TTGCTGTTTGCTTCTTCGTTTATGCTAAATTATAATAAATGTCATTGTATTCTCTCCTAAAGACCTAATGCCACATTCAGAATTAATTTATGGTGTGAAACTTTTGGCCAGGCATACAGCTCTCTGCTGCAGTCTAGCCGCTCCCAGTGCCCAAGGTAAATATCCTTTAATGTCCTATCACACATATGCCATATAAATAAGTAACAAGACTGTGCAGCTCTCCTTCAGGCGTGTGCTCCGTGGAAGTATCTCGTTATAAGACAAGTCGAGTAAACTTTAAATAACAATTTACATATACATTAATATATTCAGCAGTTGAGATTATGGCAAATTAACTTGGAAACGGAAGGTAATAACTAGACTAGACTGGATCAATGGCCTTCTTAGTTTCCTCCTGATCTTCATAGTTTAATGAGGCAAGTCTTGCTTTAGCTTAACTTTTCCATGCTTCTGTCTTTCAATTGTTTTTTATTAAACAGAAAAGAAATAATTAAATGTTTTGCATATTTTTCATGAATGACATTGACCTAGCTGAAGTGAACGAAATTTTAGGATTTGCATGGAAAAGCACGCTGTGCATCCTAATACCCTAACATCCTAACACCCTAACACCCTAACACCCTAACACCCTAACACCCTAACCCACGAACCATATCTGGAATGACTGGCTGCAGCCTTAACACATTTTTATTCATGAATGCAGCGCTATGGACTACATTGCCAGCTGGCAGAGGATTGCAGATGCATTATGCACGAGTTTATTTATAAATATTTTAATGAAAGTGTCATTTATTCACTGATTTATTTATTTATTTTTTGACTTTTTTATTTATTTTTTTTTATTATTAATATTGCTGTCAAAATCAGCGTTGAATGGCAACCGCTTCCAACAGGCATTTCCGACACGAGCAAATGGAAATGGTGTACAGTTTTTCCGCCTGATTACTCGTATAATATGCCTCATTAAAAATAATAAACTGTCAGGCGGATGAAGGCGAACGCCAAATGTTTTGCTTTTATGATTTCTCTCATTTTGTGCTTCTCCCATCTTTTTTGCTCTTGGTGAATTTGAATGTTCGCAAAATTAATTGCGCGAAGTGTAGTAAATGGAAAATAAACTTTCATCTTTTCGCTGGAGAACTGCAACAGGACTGTATCCTTGAAATGCATATCTGCCTTTCTATACACAAAAAGCAAGCCCGCTTCCATGAATATGAATATATATTTACACATATATATGCTTGTGTGTATGTGCATATTATATGTATGGCTATACACAAATAAACATTATAGTATGTGTGAGTTTTTGTTGAAACTAAATGCGGTTTCTCAGTTGCTTTTCGCCGTTTTTTATTTTACATTTTCGTAAGTGCAGTAATGGTTCATGGGACATGTAACGGGGCGGGTTTGTTGGTGGCAGCAGAAAAGGCCATAAACTGAACAAAAACATATTCCTACTAGCTGAATGTGTATGTGTGTGTGTGTGGGTGTCGGCTAAACGGCATTTGGGGACTGCTGCTAAAATGTACAAAAAGCTTAGATTTCATAAACTGCGCCTTCTGCTAGCGATGATAGCGTGAGTCAGGGCTTGCCGATAATTAAAAGGAAAATAAACAGAGCATGCAGTAAATAATATACGTTCTTCACATTTCTCAGTAATGCTTAAGCTTTTTGCTAGACGCTACGTCTTCAGCAAAATTACTGTATTGAATGCAGTGTGCTTCTCTCTTCGTAATTACTCAAAACCGCCAATAACAATTCTCCGCTTCAGCTTGCATCGCATTGAAATTGAAGTTGGAAAATCAAATGCGGTTACCCACAGTCCACACACTGGCAATCATCGTCTTCATTTCCGCCAGTAGGCATCCTAAGCACACACATAGATAGAAATCGAGAGGAACAATGCAGTGGAATTGGACGACCATGGTCCACATGGGCCATGTTGTTATGCTGCTGCTGCCAACAGGCAGGGGGGAAGGCAAGAGATGAGGCTTTGATGCCACTGCTAAGACTGCGGTTGCTGCGCATTTGTTTGCACCAGAAATTAAAATGTTTACACAACCGAATGCCGACGACGTTTTGCATTCATGTTGTCCTTATCGTTGTTGTTGTTGGTGCTTCATGTTTTCCAGTGCATGTCCTTCAACAACATTGTGCTGCTTGTGGCAGCTGCTGCTGAAGGTGTTGCTGTCGCCAGCTACTGCTCGTTGCCCCCGATGCGCTCTCAGCTTGATTTCTATGCAACGCCTGGCGTTAGGCATTTCCATGCGAATTATGTGAATGACATCTATTGCAAGTGTCATTTGTTTGCAATGCCAGGTTTTCATTTAAGCAATTTAAGCAAGCAATTACTGCTTAACTAACGCACAGCCTAACTCTTCGAGAGACCCTCGCTCAGCTTACTCATTTCGCTGTGCTGCAAGACGACTAACTGCACTTGGCTGTTGCCAGTTGCGGCGGACGCAACTTAACACCGTTTTAATCTGCCATTTGGCAATGCAACGATTTTCACTTCCGGCCCGCCTCCATCCTGTAGCCCCATCACCATTCAGGATGTGGCTGGACGGCACTTGACTCAAGGTGCTGCTCGGCAAATACTCGTTACATGATTGCCGGCAACTTCTTAGCGCCAGTTTTACTCTTCTGCTCGGTGTGCCAAAGTGCAGCTGAATATTTTATGAACTTGGCAAGTACTTCGTCTCTGGTTGGACATGCTGCCCGACCAGGAAACCAGCAAACCAGGAAACCAACTTCCCACAGCCCCGGGCTGTCAACTAACTAACACAGCAAAAAAAAATAAGTGAAAACCGACACAACAACAGCAGCAAAATAAATAAAAAAGTTGTGCTAGAAATCAAGAAATTGCGACAGATTTCAGCCTGAGCGCTCCGCAAAGTTGTCGTCAAGTATTTATACATACATATGTCATTTCCACTAAATAAATACGAATTACGAGCTACGACCAGATATTTGGTCTAGCCCAAACCAAATGTATGGGCTTTAATACACTGCACTCATATCGGAGCATATCTTATTAAATAATTAATTAAATTACCATCAAAGACTTTTAGAAATTTTTTAGAAATTTTAATATAAGATGCAAGTATGAAAATAAAGCCATTGTTATTTTTTTAATTTGATTAAACATTGTTTTCATTTATTTTGTAGTTTAATTTTTAGAAAAATATCTCATTTGCTATACAAGAATTATTTTATCTATTATAACTCCTTCCGTACTTAGCGCAATTATATATATATTACAGAAGCTGAAACTTGTAGAGTGAGCGAAATTTAAAGCAACTTTAAAATACTCTAAGAAAGTTGAAATGAAAGAAAAAAGAAATTTCTATTTAAATATTTTATGTAATAAAAAATGTTAACAAATCGTCAGACTAAGGACCGCCTTAGGAACCTTAGCAATGCACTTAAATTTATAATTCCTTATTCAACTTCTAAGAGAACTCTGACTTCTCTTCTACGTCTAACTAAAAATATGCATAAAAATGCGAAATACATGTCTAAGAGCTTATTTCATAAAAAAAAGAAGAAATGGAAAGAATCTTAAGTTTTATTTGCTAAACTCAAAAGCAGTTTGCATGCAATCGAGCAAGTTCATGATGAACTTATGAACTTTACAGCTTGATTGGTTAGAATTTATTTATTTAGCATTTTGTATTTTGTATTGTGGACTCATTTTGCGCTTAACTGGACTTTCTAGCATTTAATGACGTCAACACTTTTGGCCAATTTCATAAATTTGTACTTGTGCAGTGTTCAGCCGGGTGAAACAGCTCCTCACCTGAAACAGCTCCTTCGCAGCTGCCCGGAGCAGCTCCAAGTAGCAGAAGGTAAACAGAATGGAAGCGGGGCACCCACAAATAAGGACCAGAGCATATTTCTTATATTTTTGGTGCGCGCTTTGGCCATGTTTTAGTTTCGGTTTTGGTTCGAGCTCCCTTTTCTGGAGGTTTGATTTATACGAAATTCGTTTGCAGGCGCTTTTCGTATTTGTCTTTGTTCGTGGCTGACTTCTTGTTGCTGTTCTATGCATTGGGCTCTACCATTTCGTTAATTTTCATTTTCATTCTCATTTTCGTTTTCGTTTTCGTTATGGCCGCCAATTGAATTTGCTTTTATTGCATTTGTGTGAGGCTTGTGGCTGTCTGCTTATTGTTAGTAGCTCCCCAGAAGTTGGCCAGTCTCTAGATCTTTGGCATTTGGCATTCGGCACTCGGCATGCGATTGGGCCACTACATTATCTCTAAATAATTTATGTTTGTATACGTTTTAATTTAATTTATTTGTACATCCCGACTATTTGTTTTCTTTCGTTACTCTCGATTTTGTCGTTTTTCGCTTCTTTTGTCCTGCAAACAAGTCCCCGGCATATACAATAAATTCTTCATATGTCCGTCCGCCTCTGATTGTGGTAAAAATCCAATATTGATTGAGTAACCGCAGCATTGGCTTCGGCCTGAACTCCAACTTCATCCAGCACCCGCATCAGCTTCCACTTCCGCTTCGAGCTCCAGCGATGGCCACAGCTACAGCCAACAAGTAAGAAATCGTAAAATGCCTTACCCTACAAGCCAAGTAATTGCGTATATTATACGAGTTTTTATGAAGATTGTTTCTTTTGTATTTCGTATACTACTATTCGGAATTGCACTTTTGAGACTTTCTCTTACACTTCAGAGCCATAAAAAGTACGCAACGTATGCGTAATAAATCTGGCATGTAACTCGATGCCCCAAATATGTACTGGACTGAAATCCGCTTATGGAACTAGAGAACCCCATTCGATTACGCGGGCAGATGTAGCCGCATCTGCCATTCTGACTGTCCATTCTGGACTGCTAACCTGTTTAACCGAGATCTAACGACCATATTCCACGAATTGATTATTTATTTGTTTTCAAAAATCCTTAATAATAAAATAAAAAATCATTCCTAAAAACCGTTTAAAAACATAAAGCAAGCAGAGAGATCGAAGCGTTCGAGGAGACTTACGGAATTTTCTCCACTTGCTTATTCTCACAATCCTCGCCCGTTATGTAAACCAATTCAATCTTACTTTTGCCTACTATAACTTTAAATTCACATTTATCGTAGGTGAGTAGACCTTTGTCGCTTTCCACAAAGTCTATCAGCATTTGTAGAAAGTTTTTAGATATAACCTGTTCATCCGCACGCAGCTTTCCATGTAGCAACGTGTTGACGATGAGGAAAAGATCATCACAATGCACAGTGCCTGCAAAATAGTCAAAACTTAGTTTATATATATTTATTGTCATTTCTCTTACCAAAAAAAACGTCAGTTCTTCCAGATATCCAGTTTCCTAAGCCTGATTCAGGAGGATTATCGTAAACATAGGTGTAAAGTGGACTCTTACGCTGCGAATGATTTAGTTCGATAACTTTTTGAATCGCGTTCTTAAACAAGACATCCGTAAACATGCGTTGTAAGTCCAAATAACTGTCGAAGCTGAAGTCACGATCTCCCAAATATTGGCTCTTCAGCTCCTGAGAATACCTGTTCAAGTCGTCGGAGCTATTCATTGTATGGCGATAAAATAACAGATCTGGTGCCAATTCGTTCCAGCGAGTGTTTAACACTTCAATAAGTTCCCGGTCATCGTCGTCTTTTTCTAGAAAAAGTGCCGCGTTAAAGCCACCCTCGTTCAGAGTATAGGACATAAGCCAAGGAATTTGTGAATCTTTTCCACTCTTCATAATGTCTGCTGGATGCTGGGTGATAAAAGGCTCCGCTGTGTCGGCAGTCTCAACAACTGGGGCAAAGGGCGCGATAGGTACATAGCCAAATACCAGAAACTGTTCCACAGCGCCGACAATAGCCCTCGGATCCTTTGATTGCAGACACTTCTTCAGTTCCAACGAACTGCCCTTCGTGTCACAGTCCAAAATATGTCCGATCTTAAACGCTTTTTGTCTTTCGTTATATTGATTAGCCCAGGGACACAATGCAGTTCCACTTAGCGAAGCAGCTGCCTTAACCATACCATCAAGTCCTCCATGCAAAAGTTGGTAGTGGACTGAAGCGCCACCTGCGGAATGACCCATTAAGAGGATATTCTCTGGGTCTCCTCCGAAACTGGCGATATTCTGCTTAATCCAGTGCAAAGCCAAACGCTGATCCTTCAGACCAAAGTTTCCCGGCAGATTTGCATCACCAGTGCTTAAGAAGCCCAACGGACCTAACCGATAGGTGATCTTTACCATGATGAAATTCCCAGCGGCCATGAAATACTCATGTCCATACTCCATGACTCCACCGAACATAAAGGCACCTCCGTGAATGTAGGCTAAAACGGGAAAGCTGCTCCGACTCGCATTCTTTGGCTTGTACACATTCACGGTCAAGCAATCCTCCTTGCCAAGCACCGTATTATGAAAAAAGAAACTCCACTGCAAGCAGAACTCTGGTGGCTTGGTGGCATCGAATACCTCGCTCCACTGACACTTGTAGGGCTGCGGTGCCTCAAAGCGAAGATTACCTACCGGTGGTTCCGCATAAGGAATCGACTCGTAGCTATAGTAGTCGCCTCTGTCCCTTCCACGTAACTGCCCATTGACAATATTCACTAGCAAAGGATCAGCCCTGGCAGCGTCTGGCCAGGGCCAGACCAGACGCAGATAACACATCCATAAGACAAATCGATACATGTTTATCTATCGCAGAGGCTCTCACTCGAACTATGCCAAGCAATGACAAGCTATTCTCCTTTTATTTACCGACATCACAGAGTCAATCATCTACTGAGTCTTGCACTGAGTCTGAGCACTGAGTCTTGCCAATTCTATTGTGCGATATAAAAAATATATATGCTAGGCGTGTTTTCATTTTCTGAAGTGCAATTTCAATCTGTTAACTACAGCGCATAGCAGTCCTCAATATAATTTCCCAATCGTAAGGGTTCAATTACGACCAAAAGTAGAAATAATAGTGAATGGGACTGAAAATATGCAAATTATATATTTGATTGAATTAAACTACAATTGTATCTGACACATGTGGAGCTCTACTAATGATTGGGCGTACCACGCTGAGTAGATTTCCATTAAAATCGAATTAAGTCAGTTGCGTGTTTACGCTTAAACGGTATATATTTAGCTATCATTAATAATTACCTGGAATTAGAAATCTATCGAAGCTTGTCAATTTCACAAGTACAAATCTTAATGCCAAATAGCCAAACTGGAAGAACATGTTTAAGTTCCACTGTTTCTTTATAGCAGCTATCCTTGCACCTGTGTGATGTGTTATCGTTATCGATAAGTCGATTGAAATATTGTTGGATTTTCAATCAGAGTACGCGAATAGAAAATTTTTATTAATTTCCAATCTGTGCGTTTGTCAGCTATATCTTGATATTTTTCCGTCGACTTATGTAACTAATTTTAGCTTAACTCTTAGTAGACTACTCTTACCAAGGAACGCTACCAAAATGACGATGTTAATAACGGAAAGAAACAAAACTAGCGGGGGTCATGCCAAGGAATGTCGTAATCGTATGTGTGTGCACACTTACATAGTCGATGGTGTCACTCACTTGAGTATCATATCCATGTTTCATATGCCCAGGACTAGCTATGGTAACTATTTGTAGCAGCCTGATCTCAGCACTCAAAATTCTCTTCTCTTTTGCAGTTGGAATTTTAATTATTGTAACTGCATTGATTTAGCTGAAGGTGCAGCCTGTATTGGCATCAAAGACTCAAGAAAGATCTGATCCTTTTAGCTAAAGAGACGGTAATTAAAAGCAAAATAGGAACATATTGAATTATTTAATTTAATAAAGTCTTCAAATATTTATGATAAGTCAAGGCTTTTCTCTGGCATAGTTGTTAGTTCGTGCGATAGTCGTGCCTCTAATTTCCTTTGCATATCCAATTTTGCAACTCTGAGTGCTTGCAAATGGAGTCCGAGGTAGGGAAAATTCTCATGACATTCGGATTTTGTATAATGGAATTTTTATGTAGGTTTCCAGCCATATGCGTACACGTACATATGTTTATTTATGTGGAAATAGATACATTTGCAGAGCTGTTATATTTTAGTCGGACAATTTGAAGTTGATGTGCCTGAAATGGAGCCCTTAACGTGCGTTGATCATATTTTGCACTCCGGATGCCGTTGTATTTCTCGTCATTTACATAAACATAAAGTCGTTTGTTATCCGTGGAGCGTTGCAGTTGAAGCCTGTGGCCACAGTCTAGTTGCGTCTTACATTTCACACATGTGCACACATCTATATATATATATATATATATACTGGTATGTGTATGTAGAGGGGCTGTTGGCATTCGTCTGCCTGCTCTAAGTTTACGACTGCTGCATATAGTCGTAAACTTGACTGCAAACTTTCTGTTTTACATTTGCTTCGAACTAAAGTTAAGTTAGTTTCCGTGTCAACAGTTCATAGTCCCATTGCCACGCCCCTCCTGCAACAGATTGGTCAAATCACAAAACGTTGCTAACCTACCTGCCAAGCAGGTCAACTTGATTGGCAATTAGTGTTTGCTTCACCTCGCCTCATCTAAATATGCGCTCTTTGCCGGACTACCTACAGATGTCAGCCAATTTGACTGCCACAGTGAAAGTGTAGCCCCAAATTGAGTATCAGTTACGCTTGACCGGCTCGGTCCGAAACTATTGCAGATGCAACATTTTAGGGTCAAGGTAATTGGTGCATTTGCTAAGTTCTACCTAACAATATACGAGAAATAATTAAGATTAATTTTCGAGCCTAATTTAACATTTAAAAGCTTCAAGTGACAGTTTGTCTGACAGACTGTGGTAGGCATTTCAGTTGTATTCAATTGCTATTTTACTCACCTGTTGCACCCTCAACGACTGACGGTTGGTTGACAAGCGGCTAAATATGAATAATGATACATACATGAATGTTTTTTGACTTATTAAACTTTCTCTGCTGTATTTTAGCAGAGCAAAGTACACCTTGAGCTCAGGCTTTTGTAAGCTTTCTTGATCTAATTTTTGTGTATTGCTCAGGCAAACTTACTTTTAGTCAATTTGCTGGCTCCGCCAACAACATCTGTTGAGAGTGATTGCAACATGGGAGCAGTGTACGGACTTGTAACTGATAGGCGGCCCACTTCGCCTTCAGAAAGTAGCTCGTCCAGAAGGAAGTGCTGCCAAGATGTTTGTCTGGCTTTCGTGGATGGAGCTTGTTAGCGCTGATTTTATGCAGATTTTCAGGAAAATTTATGTAGAACAGCGCAGCTACATTGTATGTATATGCCAGCAGCTGGGGTAGGTAGCAGGTTTTCTCGAAATAAAGACAGACGGACCAAGTACATGAAGTGTACATTTCATTTCAAATTGATTTATGCGACTCTTACTTGGGCTTGCTCCAGCTATTTTCAGACGGAGTTGGGTAAATTCTGTTCTCTGCGCTTGATTACTTTTCAAACTGCTATCTATTTCAGCTGCTGCGTAGGATTACGAGCTGATTAACCCCAATATTGATTCAATATTGTATCAAGTGCTCGGCATCAGGAGCAATATTTCATATTTGCAGGTATTTACAGTTGCAGCAAATATCCAAATTTATAGCTAATTAGCAACAGCAGTTAGGTGTGTGTGTGTGTGTGTGGGCGGGTGTGAGCGATTGTGGGCGTGTGTGTGTGGCTGACATGCAAATTTGATACAAAACTTTCGCTATTGGCAAATTAATTTTGATTTCATTCCGGTCGTGTTGTAGGTGTCTGCGCTGGGTTGTGCAGGCGGAAGATACTTGCCCGACATTCCCGACAGATTAGCCTATGGATAAATTTTGCTGATGTCAGCGATAACTCCCTCTCGCTCTCTCTCCCTCTCTCTCTCTTTATCTATCTCTTTGTGTGCGAGTGGATGTGACATTGAGGTTAAGCATATGTGAGTTTCGGGGCTGCCACCAAGCAGACCCGCCCTCCTTTAGAGCTCTATTAGTCGCCATAATTAATAGCAGCTTAACTTATAATTACGGTCAACGTAAACCACAGAGAAACGTTTTAGCTTAATTGTTGAGGTAGTTCCCATTTACTGCTTGCTTTTGGGCTTTCATTTCGGGTCCCTATACAGGACACATGTAAATTTGAATGACAACATGAAAAACAAGACGAAAATCAATAAGATAATTTGGCAAGAGTTAGGCTGGGCCACTGCAACTTCATTTAGCTATTGCTGCTCAAATAAATTAATCATACCTCTGGGAAATTCAGTTTCTATAATTGATATCTAATTGAGGCGAAATAAGAGCATCAAAGCATATCATTTATGTTTGAAGACTATTTACGAACGGCTTTAAGATATTTTCATGCAAAAAATAAATGACTGGGATATTCTACATAAAGTCAGCTGCGCTCATTTTGTATTTTCATAAATATAAAGACTTATGTATATATGTATTTAATACAAAGACAAATACAGGTTCAGGTCAAGAATTCTGAAACCCTTTTAATAAAATTGTATTTTACTTCAATTTATCTCATTTTTTAATATTCTTTTATATACTCTTGTAAATACAATTTTAACTTTTTTTTGTTAAAGAGATGTCTCCAAATTGACAAGAATTATATTTTCTAAATAGTTATATTAGACTATAAGACGGTCTCGGGTGCATGCACTAAGTAAATAATTAACCACAATTATATATAAGAAAATGATAAATATCTTGAAAAAAATGTATAGTCGCATATCTCTATGACAACGGCCTGGATATTAGTCTTTAATCTTCGACCTACGATAAAGACCCGTTGTTTCTTGCCTTTGTTTCATTGGTTTTTAGTTTTAATATCTGGAGTGTGTTTATTGGCACACATTTCTGGCTCTAATAAATAATATATTCCTGCTTATTTACTGCAATCAAATTGAGTTTTCCTTGGAATTTCAATCAGGAATTTGAGCTTTGAAAACTATAAAGGAGCTTGCAGCTTAAATATTTAGTTATTTGGAAGAAGTCTAAAGATTTTTTGGCTTTCATCAAAATTGATCCGCAATTCATTCCATGACAATTATTTCTACTCAATATTTAGACGTTTTTTATTTCGAATATTATAAACTTGCATAAAACTAAATTAACTTTGATAGTTCAGCATTAGCCAGCAAAGGTAGATAAGCAAAATGTTGTAGTGGTTCGTTAGGCAAGCAGCCTAATTTGGCTTTTAACATGATTAAATATATATCTGAATTTACTGTATAAACTGTTTATATACAACAGAGCACAAAAACAAAAAGAATGAAACTTTCATGTTTATGTGCACACTAAATGTTTTGCCAATAAAGTTTTATGGGTTAGTTCGAATTTATAGTTTTGTTTGTTTTCATTACATTTTGGCGCATTTTATTTACCATTATTTTTATGGCTATCGCCCAATTTATGCATTAGCTGAATATACTTTTTAATTCCACTTACTATAAGCTAAATGCAGCCTTTTACTTTTTGCGTACAGCAGAGGTTGTTAAACGGAAAATAGTTAAATAGTTGTTAATCTGTTCTGGTTATAACGTAATATTCCTAAATGCCAAAATTTCCGAATCCAATATTATAACTTTGTCTAAAACCATATAATATCCTATATATTTCTGTCGAAAAGGAAAAGACTATGGAAAGTATCGATGTGAAAAGAGTTTATTAAGGCACGAGAAAACAATGTCAATACAATGAATATAGGTTGCAAGTTTCTGCCAAGGAATATGGATCCTCATTTATATGCCCTATAAATAAATTATCCACGTGATCCCAATAAGCTACGCACAACCTGCCCAAACAAAATGCCAATATAATTGGAAAATATTGCCTAAATTACGCTTCAGTCAATATTTGTGGAGCAAACAAATTTAACACGGTGAATAATGATGCTCACAAGCGAAATTAATCGAGAGCGTTTAAAATATTGACACAATTATTGAGAACAAGCCCAGGCACTTTCCTAATTGTGCCGATAAGAGATGATATATGAATATGGAGTTTAAGCAGGACTTTAAAGCGGCAACGGCTTGGCTTTAAGATCACATAATTTATGTGCAAGCAAATTCGACGCAGGCAGTAAAAAAAAAACGAAAATGGAACATCTTACGAGATTTATAAGAAGTGAAATTAATGTAGCAGTGCGTCTTCATGCCAGCAAGCAGCGACCCACACACACAAAGGAACAAAAATTGTTCACAAAAAGTGCGATGAATGTGGTGATGGTGTTGGTGGAGCGGAGGCCTTTAGACAAGGCGAAGCGTCGCCCCCTGGCTGCCATGGCCTACTAAGTTCTCAGCTCAGCAAATGCGAATCGAATTTATTTTATTTAGAACAGCATCTTTGCTCGCGCGTTCGTCCTTTCGGCTTGTTGTTGTCCTTGCCAGCCGAAAAGCGAAACTTTTCGCGCTTAGTTGCCTTCTAAAAGCACAAAAACAGTTTGCCTCTTAGACGCGGCAGCACTTTCCACAATTTTCTTTATGTCACTCTTTCTCTCTCTCTCTCTTGCCTCGTTCTTCTTTCTTATTCTCTTCTTTTTTTCTGCACGCGCATTTGAAGTTATTTCAAAAGTTTTTCGCCCATTTCAGTCCACATTTCTATTTGGCGCTCTTTGCCCGTCACCAAATGACAACTTAACGCGTTGCGCGCGAAAACTGCCGGAAATTGAAATAAGAAAGAAACTTGGGCAGGCTGGTGGGGCGAGAAGCGCACGAAATTGGTCACTTTATAGGAGGCGCCGCCCATTAATAACAATTTTCCCACAACGAAAAACTATTTACCCATTCAGATAAACAG